TAATAAACTTTAGGTCATGAATGAAACTAAGAAATAGAAAAACAAACTATGATTAAGGAAACACAAAATAAAATTAAAATTTAAGGTTTAATAGGGTAATATGTGATTAAATGGTATTGTTAATGGAACAGACAGCACGGGGATGCTAGTCTTTCCCCATACTTAACTGTACTCCTGAACCTAGCTTTAAAATTTGTAAATTAGGTTTTAATTCTTTAGACGAACCTAAAATCAATTTAGGACCTTGTCAATTAGAACGATTCTAATAGGTAGCCAATTGTATCTAGATAAAAAAAGATTGGTAGTGACTATCCAAAATTTTCACGTCGCATGTAGCAACAAATAAAAAAATACAAGCAAGGCCTAGCATTACTGTGGGCCAAAGCCCATTAGATACTCCATTGAATTTGGACCAACAATAGATACAAGTAAAATAAAATAAGATAAAAATAAAGATGAAATCAAAATGTACATTAAAATAGAGTAGAAATACAAAAATAGAAACAATCAATATATTTCAAAAAATGTTGTCTACTTATATCAATGTTGATATTTAATGAAAATAATTCCATACATTATTGTTAGTTGAGATAAGCTTAAAGTTAGTTAACCAAGAGGGGGATGAATTGGTTGCCAAGATAAAAGCCACTCTTTTTCACAAATTAAAAATATAATGAAACTTAAGTGCAGCAAAATAAAAAATAGAGCATAACAAAGCATATAAGTGTAAAAAAGTAAAGAGAGCAAAAATACGATTTTTATAGAGGTTTAACCTTTAATGTCTACGTCTTTTTCCTTGATATCACAAAGAATTTGAATCTACTATAACTTGCCTTTCAAAGAGTAGACAAAACCTCACAAACACTGCTTTGAAAAAGATCAAACACAACCTCACAACATCACTTCATTTTCAAGAAAAACAAGCACAACCTCACAAGGGCACTCCCTTTCTAAGAGAAGCAAGCATAATTCCACAATATCACAACCTTTTCAAGGTTAAGCATAAAGTACAACCACTCTACCCTTTGCTTAGAGGTATAACGAAATGCAATAGTGGATTGCAAAGGAATGAACTTTATACCCCTAAAAATGTTTGATGAGCAATGGGAGTACTAAAGGTGAATGCCTTTTTAAAATAAAGGTTGCAAATGGGAATATCTAAGCTCAGAAACTTACGATAGTGAGGAAAGGTGTGATCTTTGAAGAAGGTCAGCTCACAATCAAACTAAAGGAAGGATTTTTTCCTTTTAGCTCTTTTAAAAAATTTTCTCTTGTTTTCCCTCTTTTTTTCCTTTTCTTTTGATTTTCGTTTCTCTTCTTTCCTCTCTTTTTGTTGTCGATTTTGCACATGTAAGTATACATATTGAATAAGTAATATAGTGATGAAGTAGAGTATCATTCCCACGGAGATTTGTTTCTGAAGTTTCACTAAATACTAAAATTATAAAACAAATTAATCTTATTTAAGTAATCTAAAAATTAATAAAAAAATATTAAAAATAATTAAAATCAATACTAAATAAACGAACAAACAAAATAAGTTGAGACAAGCATTATATTAAAGACCTAGGATTATGGGTTCATTCAACATTTCATCTGAGCTAGCTTTTTTGGTTATTTATCTTTCTTGGGTAGTTTTACTAAACTAGAATCCAAAGTTATGGACAAGTCTCTGTCGAGTTGTTAGTACAAATACCTAACTTAATTAGTTTAGTATATGTCTATAGGAATCAATTAAATTAAGTTCATTAAGCAAGTGTCCTAATGTGGCTATGTACGGTAATTGGCATATGTCTACCCGAATTACGAATCAGATCACGTAAGTGATATGAACATATACTATTTAAACCTTAGTCCAATCTAAAATCTCTCTGTCGAGTCTCAATTAAATTCATAAATCAGTTAATTATTAGTCAAGCAATCAAAAGCATTAAGAACAAATTTGAATAACCAAAACTACACCCATTGATGATAAATAAAAAAAAAACTAATATGCAAACTATATATTGAAATCCACCACAATCCAAGAAAGATAATTTAGCTCATAATAGCAAATAAAAACAAGATCCAAAAAAATTTAGCCATGAATCCAAGTGAAAGAAAATAAGGAAAACACAAAATTAGAGAAAGAAACTAATTATAGAAGCTTTGTGATATCAACTCTCCCTCAAATTCTCTAGTTTTCTTGCTTTATTCTTAGCTCTAAATTTTCAAAATAGTTGTTTGCTACCTCTCCTTTAGAACCTTTGAAAAAGGTCCCTTAAATAGGCTCAAAGTAACCTAATTTTCAAAATCTCGTCAAATTTTTATTTTTGGAAAATCTCCCAAAGCCACGGCCTTGATTTCTTGGAGCAGTGGCGCTGGTTTTTCTGCTACAGTAAGGTTGCAACACTACTTCTCCAGCTCTACAGCGCTGAGCTTTTAGGAAACTTTTATGATGAGCTTCCTTTCACCAGCGTTGCAACCTTGTTCTCCTAATGCTATGGTTGTCTATAAACTTCGAACCTAATTTTCACCTGATCTATTTCAAACTAGGAAAAATGGCAAGTATAAAAGTTGTAGCCCTATCTCTTAACATTCCAATGGTTGAGAATCATGTCAATTGGAATCCTAGATTTAATGATATGATCCAAATACCACATCATATTCAGTCAATGGATACTACTAAAGTGCTCCAAATTAGACAAATATTTTGACCATGATCCAATCCAAACCCAATAAAGTAGTAAACATAAAAGTTGTAACCCTTCCTCTTATAAGTCTAGTGGTCTAAGAATCACTTCATTTTGAGTTTTGTAGACAGAGATATGGTTAAAATACCATAATATATATGAATAAAGCTATTACCATACTTATACGGATTTCCATCAAATGAGCCTTTTTCATCAAATTTCCTACAAAAGTAATAAGAAAAATTACCAATACTACTCATAAAGTAATTTAAAATAAAATAAAATAAAATTCAACTAAAATAAGTTAAATTAACTACTCAACATATAATAAACTTAAACTAGAAAAACACCTAAAATGATACTTTTTGAACCTAAAATCTCAAAAGTCTGACTACTTAAGCTCCAAAATGTGTCAAAATAACTTTATATAATAGAGTTATCTCTTTTTTGATGTCCGCTGGTCGGGTATTTATAAGCGTAAACCTTTTTTGATTGTTGGAGCAAGATTCACAACTTTTTTTTCCATTTTGTGCCAATTGGACTTTTATCTGTTGTGCCTATAAAATCGACTTGTTGTGCCTTTAGTATTAATTCTTCATAAATTTGGAAAATCTATACCTTTTTGTTTTTCTTGAGAATCAACATGTTCTTCATTGGGTGTCGTTTCTTCATGACATGCCTCAAGTCTATACCTTTCTATCTTTTCCCAAAATCAACATGTTGTGCTCTTGGTGTCGATTCTTCATGTGTGTTTGGCACCAATCCAAAAATTCAAACTTGAAATTTTATGCTCCAATCTTATCCAATTTTCAAATCTAGCTTCCTTTCCAAGTTTATGACTCTTTCTCTTTGAAGCTTCTAGAATCAACATGTCAATTTCTTGGTACGATTCTTGCTCTATATAATGGCTTTTATTTTTCTAGAATCGACATGTGAAAATTTGAGAATTGATTTTTCTTGCAAGAGAAAAAGAGATTTTGCTTTATGTATAGTAAAACTTAAACATATCTTTCAACTCAAGATCAATTTCATAACTCTTTTGGGGATGTTCTTCACCTTTGAAACCTCTTTTCATCTCTTTCAAGTAAATCAATTTTGTTATTTTAAAACCAAAATAAAAATAACAATTATGTTGAGAAGTTCCATAATGATTTGACGGTGTTCGTATAATTGTGAATTTCATTATGTTTGATGGATCTTTGTATGAATGTGGTGGATGATAAGCCTAGACATGTTTGATTGAAAGGGCTTGCTTGGGTCTAGTGGCTATACCCACATAGGTTCATGCACTGATCATGTCTCAAAAATGGAATGTGACAAAGCATTACTCATTATATGCATTAAAATGAGTTATAGTAACAATTACTTACATTCAAGCTATTACGTCCTGAAACCGAGACATGAAGTGGCCATATTTCTTCAAAATTAAGCCCCAAAGTAATACGAAGCCTTTCTATCTAAAATTCATATGAAATACCTCAATTGAATTCATACTAATAATTATGTTCAAACATATTGTCATAAATACCTATTACAATCCCAATGAAGTCTCCAAGATAATAAATTAAACAACTAAAACTTAAATATCAATTATATATAATAGGAGTTTCAACAAAACTAATAATGTCTTGACACTAAGGTATACTTCCCAAATTGTTCTTTTAGCTCCCATAACTTTATAGCTTTCAATCTTCATCTGCAAAACTGTAAGTAAATGAATAAGCAAACTACGACTCAACAAGTATAACCACACATACCCTACTAGATGAAGTATCATTTTCAATATATCATATAGTTCATTCAAGAACATTTCAATAAATTATGCTTTCAAAATTCATTATATTCAAAACAAATAATTTCATATGTTTATAAATCATTGATCATCAAACACCATTCCTGAAATATCATCAAAGCAAATCATAGATTCAATATTTCAAAATCGTAAAGTTCATCATCGTTAGTTACGGTCACTATTATAACTCGTGATATGACCATATCAACAAATCATTTTTATGATCATTACTAATTATTATAACTCGTTAGTAAGACCATGTGCTAACTACTATAACTCATTAATAGAGTCATGTGCTGATTACTATAATCTGTTAGTAAGATTGTAAAATTAAATTTAGTATCGATTATCGGATCATTTTATAACTCTCAAAACATTCTTTAAAGATGGTAAAAAGACTTCAGTACATTCAAAAATCGTACGGTATAGCATAATCTTCAAGAGGCGCGAAACTAGTTAGTTAAACACGACGTCGTGGACCCTACCTATAAGTTAGCAGCGTCTGCTTTCCCTTTGCGGATAGTTACTGGCTTTTGCCTTTCCAATCGGAAAAACCCTAAAATTCTCATTGCTATTAACATTGTTTTGCAACTTTTGAACTGCGGAGTACATGGTAATAATAATAATAAAAGCTACGACAAATCTTTGATAATTTTTTGGATTTTTATTTTCGATCATAAGAAAATTAGTTTGGAAAATGACGAAGAAGATTTTGTCGAAAAGAGAGTTGTTGGATCGATGGAGAGGCATCGAAGAAGAGGAAGAAGAAAACGACGATACCGATCCTTCTGTACGCCGTCGTCTTCACAAGCGCAAAGAAGAATGGTTGTTCTTTCTCTCTTTCTTTCCCTTACTGTTTATTTCCTTTCAGACATGAAAATTTAAAAATGTATGATCGTATTTTCTTGTGCAATTAATTCAAAATATTTATTTTTTTTCTTTCTACTTTTTTTTTTCTTGGAAATGAAGGGAGCTTAGGAAATTCGTTTTTGCTTTCAATTCTTTGTTTCTTTGCACTGAGCAGACAGTGTTTATCAAGGAAAGCTTTGGAATGGTATTTCAGTTTTTGATTGGACAGAGAATGGCCAAAAGTCAAGTCTTCTAAAGAGAAAAATAAGGAATTTTTAAAATATTTTCTGGAATTTTTTTATTTTTAAATCTTATACTGTTTAATGGTTAAAGTTCGTAGAGAAATTCTAGAATTAAAGATGCATTCTGTACTCTTTCTTGGTTATTACTTCTGCTACTTGCTTTTTGCTTCCAAACCTGTAATTGGATATAAAAGCAAACAATTTTCTTTGAAGAACTAGTACTTAAATTTTTAATCTTCTTTTGAGAACAAAGAGTATAATTATCTTTTATATGTAATAGTTATAATTATGTTAAGAGTTGGTATATTTATTAGTTAATTATTTATTTTTTAATCAGCTATAGTTTTATTTTCTATTTTTGGCTTCTTTCTAGTAACTTTTTTATGAAACAAAAGGCAAGTAGCAATGTAACAATCAAATGGAGCCTAAACTAGTTGAGATCCATTTTGTTTTCCTGATTCTAATTAATAAAGTTAAGTACCTATTAAATCATGTCCTTGTGAAAAGAAGAGGAATGCAGTATTTTGCTTTTGTTTAATTTGAAAAATTGTTGTTTGTAAGTGTCAGTGTTATAACATAAAACATGATTTCCATTTTAATGTGCTGTATACAAATCATGTTTAGGATGTGTTTTAGTTCCTTTCCCCTTTTATAACAATTATACTTTAGTTGTTTTGGTTTCAATTATGAATATAACTATCTTTTGTCCCAAAAATAAAGGGCTTAACTACTTGTTTTTCTATGCACTTCTATTTCTTTCCAAGTAAAGTGAATTAAACCCACAAATTATGCACTTCTATGTATGTTAATGTGATTTTCTACTTAAGTTTGAATTATTGTTGCCAACATTACTAAGTTGATTTTATATTGTGGATAGCTAAAGATTTCTAGTTACTGAATGTGATACATTCTATCAGTGTGAAGGTTCACCTTTTGAGCTTCCTCATACATTATTTTATTTTCCTTGCATTCCTATTTTTTAAGGAAATTGCTAGTACTTTGCCAGTCTCATATTTAACCATAAATATATTTGATTCCTTCATGGTTTATTGCCTTTAAAAGTTAACGAGGCAGGGATATTTTATTTTATTTTTTTTCATTGCTTATGTCAGGTTTGGAGATGCATTTAGTTTCTTGATATGTTTGCCAAAGGAAAGTCATATCTGGTGTGGCTCTTGGGACATAATGGGCCCTCTTTTGGAAACTTTCTACAATTATTTCAAAGATGAATGCAATGATTCTCCTCTCAGGCTTCTGTGGAAAAGGATCTCTGAGGAAATGCGTCATTGCATCCAATGTGTTTCTCAGCATCATCAAGCCCAAGAGATGTATAGCATGGAGTATGAGTTGTGCTCCATAGGCCCCCTTCTTGATGTATTGCGGAGCCTTGATGAGGAAAGGGTGACGCAACATTTGAGAGAGATAAATGAAAGATTGGTGCGACAGGAGTATGATCCTGTATGTGATAATGCTGAGGTTGTCAACCTCATGTATGAGGTATAGTTATGTGTCGTCTCATTTTTTTCTTTTGGTACTTACATTTGACAATTTGAAATCATACTAATTTCCTGAGGGGCACTGTGTTTTAGTCTCTTTTTTCTTTTTCTTTTGGGTTTTGGCTTTATGCATTGGAGTTTTCTTTATTATAAGAACAAGCAGAAGGCATATGGTGAACGATTAATAGTGCCCCCTGTTTTCTCCTCCTATTAAAAAAATTGTTTTCTGATGGTTCATTGTGATTTCTCCCATAAAAATCAATTGTTTTTCGGGTTATGTGGAATGCCTTTGCTCCTTTGTAGAGGCTTAATTTAACACAATCTCGTTACTTTGTTTTGGGCAACAAGTATTGAGCATTTAGCCTAATAGAATTTGCATTTTGTACACTTCTAATGCCATGCTAATGATTTATTGATAGTATTTGGATCTTATCTGATACTCTGGAAACAGTTGTTTTTCTATCCTGAATTACACTTATTTTTGCCATAAATTATTTTAAGAGTTGGATATGCAGCATAATTCTCAATGGAATATATATATTTTTTGAAAAGTTACAAGTAAAGAAAGCCATACACCTTAGAGTTCAGGTTGGGTTGGATAAAGCTTGCCAAGTTGCTTTCAATGGTCAAAGCGGCTAAGAGTTACATGTCTCATCTTGTTATGACAACTTCTGGCAAGTTTATAGCTATCTGATATATATATATATATATATATATATATAGTTTTGTTTACTGATCTTATGCTGATTGCCCCTTGTTGTTCGTTTACTGTTTATTTGATCACAGGTTCTGATGTTTCCTGTCCTATTAGATGATCAGTCCTTGTTTATAGAATTTGAAAGATTCATTGAGGCAGTGGATAATATGCATGAACTGGCTTTGGCTGGGAATCAACAGTTTCCGGTATTTTACTGGCAAGTTGTTTGTGCACCATCTTTTGTGACTTTAAATTTTCATTTTGCTTTCTACCTCATCAAGATAACATGATTTTTCAGGGTGTTTATGCGTTGCTTTTTTTCAAGAGAAGAGTGCGGACTGTTGGTCATCGTTTAGCCAGATCTATGGGAAAATTGAGGTATTGTTTCTTTCTATTGCCCAATCCTAGTATGTTGATTTTCCCCTCTTTTTTCTTCTGATTTTTTTGGCCAGTTTAAGTGGTGACATTTAACTGTCACCATTTTGTAAATATGCTGATAATGTTGTTTTGTTTTGTCATATGGCTGGTTGTCATGGTGGTGAAATTTGACAAGATGGAGTTGGGGTTTTGTTGTTGCCTTTTTTTCCCCCTCGAGTTTTTACATTAATGCATTTGTTTTGGATATCCATTGGAATTTTGATGTGCTTATATGTGTATTCAAACACCTTTTAAGTCGTGTGCTACTAGATGGAAGAAATTGGGTTGCATAAGGTTACGAGCAAAGTGACTAGAGATTGTCTCCACTAGTTTAACATATTTCCATTTTAACTTGCTTATTTGGTTTACTTCTATGAATAAATGAGCATTGAAATGCTATATTGTATGAACTTTGTGAATACTTTCTTTGTAGGCCAAGGACTTTGAAGAATTTGTCTTGATTCATGATTTTATTTTTTATGCTAATGTGGAATTATTGTCTGGATTCATAGAAAACCATTAAACAGTTCAAATATGGTATCCTTTTATTGCATGTAGTGCAATATGCAATCTTCTGTATGTCATCATGAGTTTTTATATCTTTTCCCCCTTCTTATGCATATAATCCCTTGTTCAATACTTGACGATGCTGATAGCTGCATAATATTTTGAACTAAGGTTTAGATTATTTTATTTTATCACATTTTATTTCCTTAAACTTATTCTGTTTCTATGTAGAAGAGCAACAGACTTGGAACCTTTGCAACCTTTGCTTAAAAAATTCATTGGCTCTTTGGAGAATGAAGTATTGCCTTCAACTATAGAGACTTCAAGGACAAGGGCACAGCTGGACCGGTTACCCATATGGCTTGGGATTACATCATTGTAAGGAAGTAGGGTTAAATTTTTGAACTTCTATAATTTTTTTTTTGTTTTTTGCAATCTTATGTTTCTTTCTGTGCAAATGAAGGCTTGAGTTCTTGGAACCTCCAGCTTTTGAAGAGGGAATACTGGAGCGCTATCCCATCTTTTTTGATATTGTTCTCAATCACATCAGCGGTGATTCACCTGAGTTTTCCCATGCTGTTAGTTGCTTAAAAGAACTCTTCAAAATGCTTGGTATGAACCTTATTTTTTCCTCTTTCTGTTATCCAGGTTGATGTATGTTTAATGTTGGATTCACCCTTTTTTTTTGGGTCTTTGGCATTCATACTGCTCCCTGTCAAACCTGAGTTTTCCTTTTGTTTTTCCGCTTTCTTCAAGGTTGTAAGCTTTGGCTGCGGTCTACGTTATCTCCAAGTGTGATGCGCAACACGTTGTTGGGTCAGTGTTTTCACACTAGAAGCGAGAAGATACATAAAGATATTTTTGATCTTTTCCAGCCATTTCTACAGGCATGTTGTTTCCTTGTTTTTCATTTGATACTAACTTTGCAGAATTTATAGTTGTTATAAAGTTGTTAATTTGCACTATTTATATATTTTAGTCACTTGAAGCTTTGCAAGATGGGGAACACGAAAAGCAACGCAGGCATTTCCTTTATTTTCTTCTCCATCAAGTTCCTGTGAGCAGTAACTTCAGTGTTTTAACAAGAAAAACAGCCTGCAAGGTTCTTACTGTATTCTAGATTATGAAGGACAGCAATGCTTTATGCTTTCTTATTTTCTCTTATATAGTTTGTTTTGTCTTGGTTCATTTTTTTTTTGGCTACTTATTATAAGATTGTATTTTCAGATTGCTCTTCTTATCATACACCGAGGCTACAAGATGAATCCACCATGCCCTCCTTTTGAATGTGCGCATATGTGGTATGTGTTATTGCATAATTGTATCATGCTAATTTTCAAACCTTTTTTAGGAATCAAGGGTGTGGAGATGTATGAAATGTCGTTATTTAAGTATTAGCATGCTGAGATGTCAGAGAAAAGGATTTGAGGGCCAAGACCGTACCAGATGAACATATCTATTGGTAGAAGAGAATGACATTTGTATTAGCTGAAGCATTATGGTTGTACAAGTTTGACCTCAGTTATTCTTGGCCAGGGATAAAATAAGAGGCATACATTCGCTTGTTCAATTTTCTACTGACATTAGATGGAGCTTACTTTCTATGAGTGTGTTTGAAACTAAATACCACCTCTTTTACTGGAGGAAAAAAGTTCATTCTGTGGAGCTTGTAGGTTTGATACTTGTTCTTAGGCATTTTGGAAATCTAGTTGATGGACATAATTTACTGCTATATACGGATGCATTAACTTGTCTCTACACTCCCACACGTATATACTTGTGCACAACATATTTGTTTCATTATGGTTAAGGGATTTTGCAAAGAAACAGATTTATATGACTGATATTTGAGCAATCATACTGGACAGGGGTCCTTCGCTGGTGTCTTCTTTGAAGGATTCTTCACTCCACAGTTCCCTGCAGCAGCCAGCCTTTGATCTAGTACAAACCATTCTTGTGTCTGATGCTGCTGCCCTAATAACTTCAATGCTGAATTGCAGCACTGCTAGTAGTATTGGGAAAAGCACTTGTATTGAACTAGATGATGAGGAAGAAGATAATGAGCTTCCATTTACTCAGGTTATTGAAGGAAAAAATATGAGTTGTTGGAGTGAATTCAGTGCTCAGAGCCAAATTACTTCTCAGGAGTATAGAGAGTGGATGTGCATTCCCATGTTGTGGATTGATGTTCTAGTTGACATTGATCCTCCACTTCTCCCAATATCATTTTCCAAGGCTGTATTATGGGCTCGATCTCGTTTCCCTATGGTAGAGCCTGAGAATAGTGCAGAAGTGGCTCTTGATGTTAGAGGTTGGCTTTCATCTTCTGCAGCAGAAATCTCCTCTACCTTTGGATGGAAGTTACCAACAGGTTCTGATGATGGTGGAGGGAAGGAATCTAAAAACTCAATAAGATTGATTACAACATGTCTTCCTTTAGTAAAGACATTCAACAGGTTTGTAGCATGTCTCTACTTTTTCTTACATTTTTTACTTTATAGCAATGTCTGTTATATGTTTTCAAGTTGTTCTCTTTATTGGGAAACCCATGTTTCAAGTGAAATGCAGGTTTAAATGCTGAGTGTTTGCTCACAGGTTAACTGCACATTTTTTGGTGCGAATGGGGCAAGGGGAACTTCGAAAGCAATGGACTTGGGAACCGAGGATGGGTGAAAGCTTGATCCTCTTGCTTGTTGACCCTAATGATGTATGTCTAATTGTATTCTAGATCTCATAGATCAACTTACATTACCTTTATTATATAGGTTGAGTGATGAAATATGTTCTCTGTTCCTTTTTTTTCCTGCCTTAAGGAAGAAACTTCTGTGAAGGATTTAGACATAAACTTCATTTATTATCTTTCTTTCTTATTTATGCTGATGCAGAATGTGAGGCAGTTTGGCAAGTGTATCTTGGAACAAGTTTCAAATACGCGGGGTCTTGGTTGTGGTTTGAAGTTTCTTTGCTCTGATGGTGCTTCTCTATCTGCTGTTTATTTGGGCTTGAGGCATGCCTTGAAACTGGTAAGTGTTAAACTTCTTGTTGCAGTAGGTTCTAAAGGAAGCACAGTCAGCATTCAGCTGTAATTTCTTTTCTTGTTTATTTGATATTGTTGACATGGAGACTGATTATTTGCACAGCATGCATTGCTCTTTATTAGAGGATCATTTTCTGGAAAGGGCTTTTTGCAATAGCCTACATGTTATGCACTGTAAAATTACAGCACATTAGTGATCTAGTGTGATTGTTTTTGTTATCAGTATGAACTTCTACTGATGTTGTTCTCTTCATAAATTTCCATGTATAGAAACCATGTTTTGATGTTTTTTTGCTTGTTCTCTCCAGGTTCAGTTAGATACTGTTCTATTAAAGTTTCAGACTTTGCATCATTTTTTCTTTGTTCTACGCAAGTTACTTAAAGATGAGGAATTGCCTAATTCGGATATAGCAGAAAATTCATCCAATGCCTCAAATATCATGAAGTACACTTCTCAGGGTGGATTTCTTAAGCAGCCACTCTTTGATGCTTTGCCTACAAACATGGGCAGAAATCACTCAAGTATTGACCTAAAAATAAGGGAAAATTTCTGTTACTCATTGTCAGAAATTGCATGGCCAACTATATGCAAGTGCTTAATAGAAGGGAAGGCATTTATTGATTACAGTCTTTGTCAGGTATTTTTATTGCAGTTCTTTTTGTTTCTTTCACGAATTCTTGATTATGGAAGTGCATGTGACATATGATTACTACCATGGGCATCATCTAAAGCCAGTTACTTCTTTCTGGACTAACTGTATTGGGTCTGACAAATTCTCTACGTATAACCTTGTTCAATTCAATTACAGGGTTGATCTTGAGTGCTTGCCTATGTGTGTTCATGCCTGTCCATGTGTTTGTATAAATGCCCTTGCACATGCACTGCTGGCTAGTTCTTTGCTAAAACAGAATTAGAAGAGATGATGGTGGTTCTTACGTACAGTTTAAATATAATCCAGCATTAAATTTTTCTGTCAGATGCATCATAGCTCAGTTCATTTAGCAAGCATAGTTGATATTATTTGCCTCCTTTTCAGATGACTTGTGTTCGTGTGCTTGAGATCCTCCCTGTTCTATTTGAAAGACTTGGTCCATCATTTGTTAGACCATTTGGAGATTCTGAAGTGGCATTAGGGAATTTAATGGATTTCAAATGGCTTCATGATCTCATGGACTGGGGAAAGTCGCAACTTAAGGTCATTGTTGTATATTGGAAAAAGGCCATAATCTCTTTGCTGAATTCACTCAAAGTGTTAAGGAGTGATAGTCCTTCATTGATGGTTGTGGCCATTGAAAATCTTATTTCAAGCGGTCAGTGTGTTTTTATTTTTTATTATTTTTATTTTTATGCTTCATTCCGAAACAAATATTTGGGATTGTATTTGGGGGTTTGGTTATTTGTACAAATCATGAGGATGGATATTGTCATTTTTTAAAAGTTAGTAAAGATTCAACATATCTATGTATTTGAATGAGTAAGAAGTACGCATCTGAAATGCACTTTTTTATTTAGTTTTTTTGAATTCACTACTCATTCGAGATCAAACAAATTGATGAATTTGAATATAACCATAAAACATACATTTGCATTGAGTGTGACTACACAATTTATACTACATTACAAATAGAAATCCTTCCTCTTAAACGTGAGTCCCTGAATGCAACCTCAATCAATTTAATCGCAGTTCGTATTAATTTTTTTTGTCGTTCATGTTATCATTATTTGTCTATTACTAGTTTTATTCATTTGGTACATGCTTTTTGAATATAGATGCTGTTGACATGGATGAATTGACAGAACAAGTATCACGTCTTTGTGTTACATTATCTAAAGAAGTTTCCTGTGATATTGAAAATTCAACCTTGAGGTCAAAAAAGTCATTTTCTGGAGCATTTTCTGTTGAGGGAAGGTACTCTGTACCGGGTGTGCAGGCTTCTTCTGTTGAAGAAACAGATGTAAAGGTCTTGGATTCCTTAAAAGTGGCAAAAAGGAAGAATGAAAATAATCTGATTGTTCTCTCTGATGATGAGGAGGAGAAAGATATGGCATCTGACAAGTCAAATCACCACATGTTGCATGATGAGTCAGGGTTCCTTTGTTCTGATGAGCGTACATTGGGAACTGGCCTTGCCAAGAAGGATGTGCGTAGCACCACCACTGATACTTCAAAGGATTTGTTGGAGGCTCCCTTTGAAAGAGATTCCCTTGTTTCTCAGAAGCAGGAATTTGAGAGATCAAGAGTCAAACCACCACTTTCTCTCAAGTCAAAAGGTCCTGATGGTGAGAGGAAAGAAAGAAGTTCCAACTCCAAATCTAATGTTATTTCATCTCAATGTAGAGTTGATCAGAAAAACAAGTTTGATGAACCTGTCAAATCCCGCTGCAGTAATCAGGGTTGCAATAAAACTTTCTCTGGAACAAGTGACAGAATTTTGAAGGAGTTAGTACATGATGCTGCAGGTGATCCATTGGAGGCTGCTTTCAAAACTGTGAGAGTACAGCCGTCATTTCTTGCAAAGTCAGGTTCTTTACTTCCTAAAAGGCAAGTCATTCAACTTAAATCACCTTTTGAAAACAGATCTGGCCTACATAGGCTGGAAGCTCACGTTAAAAGGTTCAAACCTCCAAGACTTGATGATTGGTTTAGGCCAATATTAGAAATAGATTTCTTTGTAACCGTGGGATTAGCATCTCCTGGAGAAGATGAGAGTCGCACTTTTAACAAATTAAGGGAGGTTCCTGTGTCATTTCAGTCACCTGAACAGTATGTAAACATTTTTCAGCCATTGGTTTTGGAGGAGTTTAAAGCACAATTGCATAATTCCTTTCTGGAGATGTCTTCATGGGAAGACATGTATTGTGGAACTATATCTGTGCTGTCAGTTGAGAGGGTTGATGATTTCCATCTTGTTCGATTTGTCTATGAGGGTGATGATTCTACAGCGTCTAAAAGCTTTTCAGAGAATGATCTTGTTTTGCTCACTAAAGGGCCTTTGCAAAGTATCTCCCATGATGTTCATATGGTTGGAAAGGTATTTCATATTATACTATGTGCTGAAGTCTTATCGTTGCTGTTTTGATTGCAGTGTTCGCCTTTTCTTTTCCTTGTAGTTTTTTTTTTTGACAGACATGTGCAGCCTCTTTTGTTTGTTTATCTATATCTCCCCCTCTTATTTTTGACGTTATTATTTCTGTATTTCCCAAAATTTCAGACCTACCCCCTGAACTCAAAATCCAACTCTACAAAGTACTGCCGTTTATCCTTTACTGTTTCATTTATTGTTTTTAGTAATGGACTGTTTTTAATCTTTGGTATTAGAGTTATACAGGGTACTTAATTTGTTTTGGCAATTTTAATATTTGATTCTAGAAGTGTGGGTTATAAATTGGTATGATTGATGATTCATTCATAAATTTAATTGGGCTGCTCCTATAGTGAGTGCAAGCTAATAGTTATGGGGGGACCTGATATTTTGATAGTCAATTAAGTTGTATGCTTGCATAGTGTTCAATTGTGAGGCGAATATAAGCAGAAAGTTCAATGACACATTAATTGACTTCTAAATTTAGTTATTGTTTGTTAAATATGGTTTTAAGTAGTCAATTTCCGAAGTAAGGATTATGAATTATGATGATTGATTTGTAAATTCAGTTGAACTGACACTTTAGAGAGTGCAATGAGCTTGAGTAGTTTTTAGGGTCTAAACCCAAAATTGTGAATGGTCAATCTATTGGTCTTCAAGTTAATGCCAAAGTTACTAAATTTTATTATTGTCAATAGCAAAAAAATCATTTGGTGATTTTCACTCGAAAAGAAAAATGAAATATCCGTTACTTCTCTCTACCTTCACAAATATTTCAATTTTTTGATCTTGAAAAATTTTGTTCTTCCATTGCCTGATTATTATGGCAACATGCAATCATTATTGCTTGGTTTTTTTAAAAATCTGATGGAACAATGGGTTGAGAGTTTCATGTTCTATGTAAACCTGTTCTTAGGTGTTCTTTTCAATTAAAGACCCTCAAAAATAGCACATATCTTTGATGGTTGATACTCCCTTGTTTATATGATGGGCTTTTTCCTCACTTTTGATCAGCAATCTTATGTTTCTCATTGAGATGAATTTTTCATATAGGTTGCTTAGACTTCAAGCCTTCTTCTCATTAACTTCATTTTTAATTTCTGAGCTTTAAGTCGACGAAGATTGCATTCCCCATTAACTATAATGATGTAATGCCACTCTGTTATTGGTTTGTATAATTCTTTGGTTTTTTTTTTTTAGATTGAAAAAATTTCCTAAAGTTTCTAGATAACATGTCCATATTTCACCGAAGTAACCGACCTGCTCACAGGTGGAGAGGCGTGAGAGAGGCCATAAAAGAAGGTCAAGTATACTGTTGGTTCGGTTTTATCTTCAAAATGGTTCAATACGTTTGAATCAAGTCAGGAGGCAGCTTCTTGAACGTAGTAAATGGCATGCAAGTCGTATAATGAGCATTACTCCCCAGCTTCGAGAATTTCAGGCACTATCCTCAATAAAGGATATCCCCTTACTTCCTGTCATTTTAAACCCTGTCAATGATTCTACCATACCTGATAAGCCAAGAGTAGATTTTAATAAGCTGTCTCAGCCCTTACAGCAAATATTGAGGTCATCCTTCAATGATAGCCAACTTCAAGCTCTCAATGTTGCTGTTGGATCACAGAGGATAAAGAAAGATTTTGAATTGTCTCTTATTCAGGGTCCTCCGGGTAGGTTATTGCTATTTTTATTGCTACTTAGTTTTAAATTTCAACTTTTAGTGGATTGTGATTTTACATAATGTTTCATCCAGTAGCATATCCTATATGCTGTATTTACAGCTTCCTGCTTGATTCAATAGGGACTGGAAAGACCCGAACTATTGTGGCCATGGTTGGTATTTTGCTTGCTTCCTTTCAGCGGAGAACAAATGAATCAGAGAATTCTCAGAATGGTGATTTGAAACAAAGCTGTAGTTCTTTCACCAATTCAAGGGCACGGATAAGCCAGTCCACTGCAGTCGCAAGAGCATGGCAGGATGCTGCCTTGGCTAGACAATTAAGTGAGGATGTTGAAAAGTCAAAAAAATCAATAGAAAGTTCTACAAGAGGAAGAGTGTTGATTTGTGCTCAGTCAAATGCTGCAGTAGATGAGTTGATGTCAAGAATATCTAGTGAAGGTCTCTATGGGAGAGATGGAAAGAAGTATAAACCATATCTTGTAAGGGTTGGAAATGCAAAAACAGTGCATCCAAATTCACTACCCTTCTTTATTGATACGCTTGTTGATCATCGTTTGGCAGAAGAGAAAATGCATGCAAGTGATGCTAGGAATGATTCAAGTATAGAGTCTTCTTCTATGGTGCTGCGATCTAATCTGGAAAAGCTTGTTGAAAATATCAGGTTCTATGAAACCAAGCGTGCGAACATACGGGATGGCAATTCAGATCTGAAGAGAACATTGGAAGATGGAGCTGATAAGGCAACTGATATGTCTGATATGGAAATAGAGGCAAAGCTACGACGATTGTATGAACAAAAGAAACAAATTTATAAAGATCTTAGTGCCACTCAGGCAAAAGAGAAGAAGAATAATGAAGAAACCAAAGCATTAAGAAATAAACTGAGGAAGTTTATTCTAAAGGAAGCTGAAATAGTTGTAACCACATTAAGTGGCTGTGGTGGAGATCTCTATGGAGTATGCGCTGAATCCATATCAAGTTTGAAGTTTGGCAATCCATCCGAACAAACTCTTTTTGATGCTGTTGTGATTGATGAAGCGGCTCAAGTAATTATCCTGATTTTTTGTTCCGTTTATGTTTTCTTCTTCTAAGTTTTATTGTTGCTTTCTCTTTGGTTTTTAACATTTGAATTTGCCACTGCAGGCTTTGGAACCTGCTAGTTTGATTCCTCTTCAGCTTTTAAAGTCAAGAGGGACAAAATGTATCATGGTATGGGCTAAAGTAGTAAGGACTACTTAATAGATTTTTGGAATTGTACTTTGCGAACTTGAGAATCTATTCTGAAGTTAAATATATTTTCTTAAGGTTGGTGATCCGAAGCAGCTTCCAGCAACAGTTCTCTCTAATGTTGCAAGCAAATTTATGTATGAATGCAGCATGTTTGAGCGCTTACAAAGAGCTGGTCATCCTGTTGTTATGCTTACTGAACAGGTAACCTCTATTGCAACTGCTTATTCCTTTCTGTAAAATCTAAAGTAAAATTCCTTTCTTCTCTGGTAATCTTTTTTACCCTGTTGCATGGTATCCCTTTTCTACGATGGTTGCTTTCTGGTTTTCAAACAGAAAACCTACCATGGAAATGAATATGTTCACGTGTTAAGGGGTAATAGGTTAAGAGTTTTAGGATGCAAAAGAACGTAGTTAGCTGTTGCTATATGAATCGGAAGTTTGGGTATTCCTAACATTCTTTCTGCTCTGGAAAATTATTACCCAGTTGTATGACGTGCCATATCTACAAATGCCTACTCTCTGGATGTAAAAAAAAAGATCTACGTTGGAAATGAGTGTGCTCATGTGTTAAGGGTTATTATGGTGAAGACTAAAATTTATTGACCATGGAAATGGGTGTCATCACATGTTAAGGAATATTAAGGTTAAGACTTTTAGGGTGCAAAAAATGTAGGTTTGCTGTAGCTATATGATTTGGAAAGTTCATATAAATATTCTTGTGCATGTATTGGGATATGCCTTGTGTGTTGTTAGCTTGAGATTGACACTGGGTCTATTTCTAATATCTTTTGTGCATATTTTTGTCATAACTGACTTGAAGGGTGCGCATTATTCTAAGTTTTTTTTTTTCTGATAATTTTTAGGCCATGCTAAAGGATAAGTATTTCATTTGATCAGATTGTCAATTGCATTATTTATGGTGTTTATATTATTTTTGTAAGGCACTATGCAATGATATTTAAATTAGCATTTTCACTTGCATCCTTGAATGATGTTTCCTTGAGATTTGGTTGTGTATCTACATCTTAATGGAACTCTTGGAGTTTAATACTATTGTCTGTACCGTTGATAACAACTTAATTGTATTATTGGTTACTTTTGATGACTGCCTTCTATTGAGCATAATGTCCAACATCTAATAAAAACCTGCATAAGTATCTAAGATCAGCTATACTTCCGGAAATGCAAATATGTAGTTGAGCATGTGTTGCAATTATCCAACTTGTTATCTCTGTGGCTTCTTATTCGTATTTTGTAAGTCCACTAAGGATCAGTGCAGGTTGCACTTTATTGATTAGAATATTTTATCAAATTGAACTTATAGTTTCAACGCATATCTGCAGGCCAGCTCATTTGTGTCAATTTAGTGAAATGCTTGAACAAAATGAAATATAAAAAAGATGATGTTAACAAAAAAGGATTACATTCTTGTTATAAAACATAAAAAGGGTCTTTAAGTTCCTCTATCATGTTAAGCTTCTTTATATTTTGGATGGCATGGTGATATGAACAGCTGGCAACCTACTAGCTGATGTTCAATCTAGTTCCTAGATTAACAATATGTGCAAATTAAATTAAAATAGTATTGGAGTTGATGCTGACCCTTAATGTGGTGTGACAACGCTGACACGTAAAAGTCTTATCTATGTGGCATCAAAGTGATTAAACCTATTAGATTGTAATCTCACTACAGGCTGAGCCATACTAATTGCACCGTCCATATTAAAATTAATATAAATCCAACCAAAACAAATCTCCTTTTGTTTTCTTTCTCTATTTTTCTGATTTTTTTTCTCTCAAATCAACCCTGTTATCTAAAACATGATTTACCACGTCTTAAATTTTTTCTCCTTTAGCTTGATTGATTAAATATGTTGTTTGACTAGAATTTGTTAGCAGATACTAATTCTATGTTTTTATCCACTTTTTTAATAGTTTCAACTTGATGCGACTCATCTAGTGGTTTGTGTAGCTTAATATTATGCTCTAAAGCATGAAGACTAGTGTGAGGTGATAAAAGCCTTTAATGTTCTCAATCTTGATTGTTATGAAGTAATATACCTTTTTTCCCAGTCCGTTAGTGTAACATATCCTTTCTGTCTTGGGGCAAGTATCAAAGACATGGTATATTTAGATATTACAGTCTAGCGTATTGTGTAGTACTCTTCAGTTATCTAGCTTTTATTAATACTGTTGGATGATATCGACCTTTCTTGAAGGTTCTCATTCACAGGGTTTGTTGCTAATTTCTTTTCAGTTAAAGCTTTATCCCCTTGAAAGAATTGTTACCACGGTTTGCAGGCTGTTTAATCCAACTGTATTGACCAGAGCAAAATCTTCTTTTCCTTTTCTCTCTCTCTCTCGTGCTCTCCAACAACCACACTGCGCTCCCCCCCCCCCCCCCCCCCCGTTCTCTTCCTTTTGGGTATAGTAGTTTGTTATGGTATTCATTCCTTTGTAAGGCTTTGGCACTGTGCTCAATACCCATACCTTAAATGATGCTTTCCATAAATGTCTGCATGTGGCTCTATATATGATGCACTTTGTTTTAGGTGATAAGTAAATCTGAATTTATCATTTCAATGGTAATTGATTATGGAAGATGAAGAAATTATGTATGTATTTTTTATGGACAAATGTTTTGTGAAATACTTGTTGCAGGAATATTTTGATGTATATGCTATTATTTGTTACTTGAGGGGCATGGTGTCTGCTCCATAAAATGTTCACAACACTTGTTTCTTTAAATCTTATACTTGAGCTTTCTGTTGACAGTATAGGATGCATCCAGAGATATGTCGCTTCCCTTCTTTGCATTTTTATGACAAGAAGTTGCTGAATGGTGATACAATGTTGAGCAAATTAGCATCATTTCATGGGACCAAGGGCCTTGGCCCTTATTTGTTTTATGATGTTGTTGATGGTCAGGAGCTTCGTGGCAAGAATTCTGGTGCATTATCCCTTTATAATGAACATGAGGCCGATGCAGCAGTCGAACTGCTTAGAGTTTTCAGGAAAAAGTATTCTTTTGGCCTTTTCCTTTTGGGATTTTATTATAGTAAATCATTTATCTTGTTTATTTATTTTTATAGTTTTAAATTTGTTACTATTGGTATAGGTATCCATCTGAGTTTGTTGGGGGCAGAATTGGCATAATAACTCCGTACAAGTGTCAGCTCTCACTTTTGCGTTCTCGCTTTTCTAGTGCATTTGGTTCTTCTGTTATTGCTGATATAGAGTTCAATACTGTGGATGGTTTTCAAGGCCGGGAGGTTGATATATTGGTACTTTCCACAGTTAGAGCAGCAGATTCAAGTTCTACACATGGCATAAGTTCTAGTATTGGGTTTGTTGCTGATGTAAGACGAATGAATGTTGCTTTAACAAGAGCCAAGCTCTCTCTTTGGATTTTGGGGAATGCAAGGACTTTGCGGACAAACCATAACTGGGCTGCTCTTGTGAAGGACGCTAAGCAGAGAAATTTGGTTCTATCAATTAAAAGGCCTTACAATATCGTTTTTAAAACAATTGCTAGGAAGAATCCTGTTCCAGAAGATTCTGATAATCATCTGAGTCATGTGAAGCATATCGAAAAGGTTGGAGGTACCGGCCAGCTTGTTAAACAAAACAAGTGTATGGAAAAGCTAAAGTTTGAAGGGAACAGCAAGCATGTTGCCAATGTGTCTCACTGTATCAGGACTGTTTCCGGAGATGACAATGACTCTGTGAAAAGGAAAGATATTCCCTGTAGCAAAAGAAAAGAAAAAGATGATTGTGGTCCTCCAATTAAAAGGAATATTTCATCTGCATCTGTAAATGGTGAAAAAGAAAAAGCACAGAATGTGAAGTCTACAATTTTGGAGAAACTTGTTACAGGTAATGGAAGCCAAGAGGAAAAGGGTAGTGAAGTAAAACTCAACTTGGAGAAAACCCATATGGATGAGAGAAAAAGTAACAACAATACTGGAGAAGAAGTGGGTCATAGTGGGAAAAATAAGAAATTTAATATGCCTAAAGGATCAAAGAAATCTTCTGGGCATGAACAAAGAAGTTTGCATGCTTCAACTCCCAGACCTGATGGCAACAAAAAGGAGAGAGAAGCAAATGAAGGTGGTAGAGATACTAAGGAAGTTGGCAATTCTCAAAATTTAAATGCTAAAAGGAAACAGCAACGTGAAGCAGTTGATGCTATTCTTTTCTCAGCTCTAATTCCCTCAAAGAAGTCTGAACAATCAACAAAAGCTTTGCACCAAAAAAGGCCTCTTTCCCCACCTTCAGTTGTAAGTGGTGGCTTCAAACCACCTAAGAAAATGAAAGGTGAACCTCTGCTTCACTGCTTTACTCAAGCCTAACACATCTCATTTGTTTGAATACAATCCCTAGCAAAAGTAAGTCTGCAGTGTTGACCTGATGCATGTTTTAGCTGGTATTAGTTCCATATCTGCATCTGATAGCAGTGTTAAATAGGTTTACTGGGAATCTATTACTCGTAAATAATCTCTTCTACTGTAGTGTGTTTAGTTTGATGACCCCTGGTTTTTGAGAATGCTCTAAAAATAATGTTTATATGATTGGATAACCCTCAACTTACTTCAGTGGAACACGTCTTTCTTGAATGTGCACACTTGCACATTAACTATATTAAACAATAGAAATGACTATTTAGAGATCAAGTTGGTACTTTCAAAGAAGAATATGTACTAATTTTTTATGGATCTATATAAGTATTATTATTCTTCAGGAAGAAAGATATGGCTAGTTACTAGATACAACCTATCTCTTGATACCATGATCGATGTCTTACTTGCCAGTATGTGGTTGCCTTGTACATCCTCTTGACTGCACTTGCGTGTTGGAAAGATGAAAATGATACAATTTGTGAAGTGAAAAATATATCATGATATCCTTGTTATTGAAGTATAATTTGCATATTATCCACATTTGATTGTCTTATTTGGCTTCTCACAGGTCCACCAAAATCCTAAAAAAGGGGCACTGCGCGATCAGATTCATCAATAGTACAGTGAAATAGACAATTCTTTGAGCTTGTAGGACCTAAGGATGAAAGTCTTCCACTTTTTTGAAGGAAGGAGTTTGATGAAGTGCAATTATCGTCTTTGTAAATAGTGATATTGTAGAAAGAAGATTTTGGGGCTCCTAAGTTGCAAGGAATGAGGTAATCGGCTGCATTCTCTGCGTCTCATGATCAGCAAACTAGGTCCGTACTTTGTTAACATGCATGTACCTTAGTGAGTTTTCTAAGTTGTAGAGAAGTATAAAGAAGATTGGAGTATGGGGCAGGGGAATAATTTACAGCATTTCCTCAGCTTCTCAACGTAGGAATTGTAGCTTTTGACAATGTCCCTGGTTTTGCATTTCTTGTTGAAAGCTTGTCTATATTACTTATTGTAAATACTTGGTATTTTTTGTTACCAGTGAAATTATAGAAAAAAACTCAAGGTTTATTGGAGGTCGTTTATTTGAATTGTGTTTTCTGGTGCTCCACAGCTAATTTTGTAGGAAGATGGAAGATCTACATAGGTTTCAATATATATAAGTAGTAGATATTTTCCAAGAAGAGGAATAAGTGTGGGAAGTCGACTTGTTTTGTTAAGCCATAGGATTGGCATACGTATAACACTCCTTGAAAGGGTTGAGGAAAAGGAATGAAGTCCAAGCCTGATTTTGTTTACTCTTTCACCTGTCTTATATTTTCTGCAATGAAACCCTATTAGAAGACATGCTCCTTATAAGACCAGACGAAGTAAGGGTTCCTAAAGGGACAATAGATAGGATCATCAGCCTGATTTTAGTCATTATTTTAGTCAAATTATAAGTGGAGGGTTCACTTCTTTCATTCTTGTGAGGGGGTGATTCTTCCTCTAATGCTCATGAGAATTCATGAATTTTTTTTTTAATATTATCATTCATCCATAATTGATAAATGATAGTAGGTGGTATTGTTCTACATGTATGTCTTGAAGATGTTTGGTCCATACTGTTTTGTCCATCTCCATTTTCCTTTGGCTAAAATACTTTTACTCCTTTAACTTTTAGTCATGATGTCATGTAAGTTTATTAATATTCCAAATGAACAGTTTGCTTTAAAACAACATTTTGCTCTAAACACATAAGTTGTTGATCTACTATTAATATTTTCATTAGTTTGATAACATTGTAATATTAAAAAGATAATTTGACTTTTTATCAATTTTAAAAATTATCACATTATATAAATTATAATTTTTTATTTTTTATTTTTTTTCTTATTAGAAAAAAAAAAAAAACCCTCCCCAATGCTCCTTGCTAAACACCGATTGGGTGCTCCTCAGGGGAGCAGTGTTCGCGTGTTCCCCAAGGATTAAAGATGAGTGCTGCCTTGAGAAGCAGTGTTCGCGTGCTTCCTAGGGAGCGTAGATGGGTGCTCCATTGGGAGCATCGATCCCGCACTCCCTGGGGAGCATCAATCTTGGTGATCTTGGGAGCACCAGATCTAGTGCTCCACGACAGATTAGACCGAATTTAGCTCAGATCCAACCACGGGGTGGCCAGTTGGGGTAAGAAACAATATCGGTTGGTCTAAAATAGGTAAAAATATATACATATATATTTTAAATATTTTAATTTAAATATTAATACCGTTTAACTACTTAAAATGGAATGTTTATTTTACAAATTAGTAAACTCATATGTAATTATAATTAAAAATTAAAAATAATAAAATATATATATATTTTATTTTAATTAATTAAAACCTTACGAATTGAATCTTATCTTAATCTCATCATTACTTTCATCACCAATTTTTCATATATATATATATATACATGTGAACATTTCTATCATCAACTACCCCATAACTTATTGTCATTTTTTTTATGGGAAACTTTTTACTATTCTTTTACCTTTCAATTTTATAATATTGAATTTCTATTATAGCTCAATCATTTATATTTTGTTTGGATGATAGTTTTATTTTTTATTTTTTGTTTTTTACGTTTATTTTTTTAAAAAAATTACTATTATGACGTGAAAAAAGTAAAAGATAAAAAATAATATCATAATTGATTTTTTGTAGAATGTAATAATTGATTTAAAATCATTAAAATATAATATCTATTATAACTTAATTAGTTTGTATAGAAATAAAATCGTATATATTTTATCATTTGAAAGCACTACATATTTAATTTGTATATAATCCCTAAAAAGTTTTATTACTATTTGTATCCAAATTAAATCTGTCCATAGGTTGTGAGCATTAGACCCTCTTCAAAAGATAATGTAGGCCAAGGTATGATCTAAAATATTATTTATACTAATAAAATATTTTAATTTTAATATAAAAATATATTTAATATTTTAATAATAAATTTAATTTAAATTGACGAATGGTGTTTGAACTCACCTTTTAGAAATGTCAAGCGAATCCGATTCGACTCGTAGAGACCTCTAATTCAATGCAATTTTTTTTTTCAGAAGTGAAAAACAAATAACCAAAGTGTCAAACAAATGAGCTTAATATAAAATTTTAAAAATCTTCCATTATGGGTCAAAAATAGAAGGGTTGGTAAGGATTGCCAGAAGACATTTCATCACATTTTTAATGGTTTAAACTTGAGACTTCAATGAGACTTATGAGGTGAAATAAAAGCCTATGTCATATATAATGCAGGAGATGATATGAACAATATATATCCTCCAAAGAAGAGAAATAAACGAACCAAATCTGACCGGAGAAGAATCGAATCCCCAAAAATTTTTATTTATTGATTAAAACTAAGTATAAGCATTCACAAATATATAAAGTTAACTATAAAAATCAAATAATCAAATAATATGTTTACAAAATAAATAAAAAATAAAAAAACTCATAAGTTCAAGATATTATTTGACATGTAATATTATTTTTTATTAACTAGATTCTGTTTGAGTCCCAAACTATCAAAGTAATCGAAAAATATTTAAACATGAAATATTTAAAAATTTAATTTGAGTTGAAAATTACTAAATGAGTTGTTTTAGGAGAGTGAAAAATGTAGCCAACAATTGAGAAGAAGAAGAGTCTCAAGAGTAGGACTTGTATGTTTTGGAGATAGAAGGAGAGTAATTTAAGTTTTGACTTGTTTAAATAAAATCTTAAATTATAAAAAGAATTTTTTTATCTTTTAGTATATAAATATTAATATATAAATTACTTTTTGATAAATTTATTTAAAATCTTTGATCTCTTCCCTACAAAATTACCAAAAAAATAATAATAATGGGTTCATAACTGTCACTAATTATATAAAACTCTAATTAAGTAATATACTTATATAGAATTTTAGGAATTGAGTGGTGTCATCTGGCACCACCTTGACAAGGTTGGGTTTACCCATGGACGATTGGGTGTTAGTTAGAACTAGGTAGGAGTAAGTCCTTTTTCTTCTCCATAAGTCCTAACACATGTTCAACCTTAACAAATATCCTCCTTTTTCCTCTATCAATTATCAAACAGCCTTATCAACCACAATTACTTGTATTTTTGTCTTTAGTTTTTAAACCTCTATCTATATTTTTTAAAAAAATTAACGATTTTGGTGATATTTCCCTTTTAAAAAAAAAGAGATTTAGGTTGGGATTTGGGCATGTGGGTTAATATGTCATGGGATGAAATTATGATTAAGTTTTTTTCATAGTCAAACTGATAGATGAAAGAAGAAAATACATTTATTTTTCTCGATCCCGCATTGAAGAGTATGGTTCATTTTTTCCTAAAATGAAAAAAAAAAACCCTTCATCTTTTGAAGTCAAAGGGGTGTGGGATAGTGAGAGTTTTTGTGTTATACATCTTTATATCAATAAGAAATGAGATGAGCTTTAGGTTTATAAATAAGGATGTTCTTTTACCTAGCAAATGCCTTTTGGGTTGATAATGTGTACTTGTTAACTCTGGTATCAAACCCTATTTAACTTTTCATTGATGTAAGATCCCTCATTAGAAATATTAGGCTCAAAATAGGCTCGAACCCTATCCTCTATGTGTGAAAGAGCTAATGCAACGAGGGTATTATACAATTAAATGTGATAGAATGTCACAGATCCCGCATCAACAAGAGATGAGACTTATTTTTCTAGTTAAAAATATAGACTTGTGATATTTAGCCAACACTTTTCTTTTTGTTCAAAATTTTAATAATATCAACATGTTAAATAATTTAATGGGATGATATTTTTTACCCTTTAAAGATAACATTCTTTTTAATTTTAACTATTTTTAACCAAGAGAAAAGATTTTTGAACAAAACTACCCTTAATAAAATCTCTTCATGTTCAAGTTCATGTGTTAAAAAAAATATTGTTACATGTCATGTTGAAAAAAAAGTTGTTACATGCCATAGGTTTTTATTTATGATTATAGGAAATGTAAGAAATAAAATATCATACAAACTAATTATCTAAATTAGAAAATTTAGATAATATCTTTTTGTCCAAATCCATTTCATCCCAATAGTAACATTGACAGTGAATAATTTTTCAATACATCTTCATTTTTATGTCAAATTCTTATTTGATTTTAAATTTTAACTTTATCGTAAAAGTGTTTAAACTCCAAGAGTTTATATTTAATTGAAATATAAAGACAGAAAACAAGTTACACACTATGTTTAAAAGTATTGTTATTACATGCTATGCTTAAAAAAATATTATTACAGCTGAAAAAATAGTTGTTACATGTTTTAACTCTAAGAGTTTATATTGTAGTGGAATACAAATTAGCAAGTTACATGCCTTGTTTAATAATAGAAAAGAAAAACAAAATGATATTGCAAGCCTAAGTAGATGTTACACACATCAATAGAAGATGTTACATATCAAAACTTTAGCACCAGATCCTACACGCCAAGGTCAAAGCTTCAGCACTAAATGTTACACGCCAAGGCCAAACTTTATGCATCAGATATTAGCACCAGATATTACACATCAAAGCTTCCTTCTTCTTATTGATGTTACACACCAAAGCATAAATCACAAATGTTACACACTCAAGCCAAAGATTTACATGCCAGATGTTGGCATCGGATATTACACACCAAAGCTTCCTTTTTCCTTACCGAAGTTACATGTCAAGGTATGAATCACTTTGTTACATGCTACAGCATGTTCTACACTAAACTTGAATCGCTAAAAACTAAACACCAATAAACCCAATAACTTGTTGCTACTCACTATGCTATGCTTTGTGATTTATAAATCGATGATGATATGACATGATGGTGAAAGATAAACAAAGAGAGGGTTTTTGTGAATGTAAACCAATAATCCTAAGAATATGTTGTTACCTTCTATGTCATGCTCTTTGGTATATAGATTGACGGTGATATGACGAGATGGTGAGAGATAAATAGAGAGAGATGGTGATGGTTGTAAAATTAAAGAATTCTAAATGACGAGAGAGAAAATTAGGAACACAACAGACGAATGGTG